TTGATCCCAAGCTCAGTTCTTAGCATTTTTTCTTCCCTCACTGACCGTTTAAATATATTTCGGCACAGAATAAGCTGGTCACGGGAGCCTCAGCCTCACATGCGGTGTTCAGAAGCTGTCAGCAAAATGATCAGGAAACGCGAGAAATATGTGCGTCATGTGCTACATCAGTTTTGAAAATTTTCACCTTAGAATTTGGATTTTTGAAAGATATTTAGTTCCAGTTTGGCGAAATCTTACGAGCAAAGCGTTTTCCAGAAAAGTAATGAACAAATCGCGGATAAAGCGCATTACGTCGGCTGAGAGTTGACATTGAAGCTCCTTTGACATGGTTTTAGGATGCATGTGCGCAAGGATTGCAGGATGTTTAAATTATCTGTATATGCAGAAATGATTTAGCAAATTAAAAGAAAAGCAAAGGACTAAAATGGCGGATTCTCTTAATTGCTAATAACTTGATGCCCCGGGTGTTATAAAATATCGCTTTCGATTCACTTTGTGCATAGCACCACCAGCGACTTAGATTCATGCCAATCCATGACTGGTACCACCAACCTGACAGCACACACAGTTTAAACCGTCGACAGTCTGCGATCCATGTACCGCTGGTCGTATGCATTCACAGTTTACACTACGCCAAAATTTCTCCTGAAAAGCGATGTACACAGCATGCGGTAAAATTCCGTGCATACTAGACCTTGATGAAATTGTTTCTGCACTGCTACTCTCCACGATATCTTTCCTCCGATCGATTTTAAATTCATTGGTTTTGAGGAACATCTGTCACCTGCATTTTGACCTCTACATATATGTTTCCATTTTAGCGCGACATGAAAACATACCGAATCGCAGCAACATGATTTCAGAATTTGTCGGAAACTGATATCTTTGCACGGGCAGCATCTCAAAATTCCCGAACAGTCCATGTAAAACAGTGGCAGTGATGACTGAAGTGCATCAGAGCTAACTGCATGCCTCCTTTGGATAAACTTTTCAGGCTGAAATACAAATATAATAAATGTGAAGACGAAAACTGGTGTATTCATGTAGGGCAAAACAGAAACCCCAGTGGCCCCTAAATTCCGAAATTTAGCATCTTAATTTTCAACTGACGATCAAAAGCCTTGGCGCAATTGTACTCTGCGTGTTGCGAGCTTCTCAGTAGCAACACTTGCATGGGATACCCCCATTGTTAGACTGAGCTGTCATGATACTGGTATAGCATTCTAGTGACTAATTCAAGAAGATCCATTCTCCTAATTAAAATGAATGAACGTATTAGTATGAATAGTGGCGAAGCAACACAAAAGTTTTTATAGGAAAATTTGAAAAAAATGTACAGAAGACTACAATTTGAAAATCCTATAAAGGAGAAGGTGATACTTTTGTGTGAAAATTGTAACAAAGAAACTGAAAAGGAATGTTTCAGTCCATAAAGCTGTATGCATTCTTTTTCAACACCACAACAGGACTTTGCCAGTACGATGGTTATGGTTGTAAAATAACTAAATCAGCCAATGATAATGAATGGAAGGGGACAGCATACCTCTTCGAAATGAAAGCAATGCACTCCTTAAATCTAACGTAAAATATTTTTCTGCATATTTCCATCAAAGTTATGTGTTATTTTTTCCTAGTTTTTTGTTTTACAGCTTAAATCAGTTGATATGGACGTTCTTTATTTGACGGATTTTTCGTTGCGCCGGTTGAATTTCGTGTTTACTGGCCATTTTCTTTGTACACCTTACATTGTGTGTCACAGTTTTTGATTTTCTTTTTCTTTTCACTCCTCCTCGTTTTTATGAATCCGGTCCGATACATCCTGATTCATAAAAGGTGATAGTTTCTGGATATGACTCTGTTACACCAAACTCTGATTACCAAACGGACCTTCACCATTTGTTAAGAGTGAGCAATCCCTCCATACTGCTTGACTTTGTGGATGGTTACCTATGCAGTGCTCATTTTGCGATACAAACCTTTACATTGCTGCAGATCCAGAAAAAGATGAGAACGAGGATGAAATAAGCAGCGAAGAGACCCAAAACAACTGTAGCGAATGGAATCTCAATACCAAAAATATCCATATAATAAAGAATCGCTAATCTAGTGCGTTCGCCTGTTTGCACATCGCTATGGCAACGAATGCAACCAGGAATCATGTTCGTTGGCTCGCAAGAGAACTCTGTCTTTGAAGAGGAAGAGGTGGAATTCCGGATGACAATACCTTGTTGCTTACCGAAATGACACTGGCAGAGGCGTCATAATTTATCCTGATTTTGCCTCCTTTTCGCCATCCGTGATTCCGCCACACGTTCATTTCATAGAAGAAAGAAACCAAAGGTACAAACCTGGCACTAACAAAAGCCATGTAATGATAATTTGCTTTTTCAGATACTTATTTTGCTTGCATTAGCATTTTAATTGCGATTAAGACCGCAGTCTCAGAATGAGGTAAACTGAAGTCCAGTGACTTGTTCACAAAATTCATTTACTCCATCGTTTGCATATGCCCTCCCGCCGCTTCCCATCTCTACGTTCTACAAAAAGTTATGAAGGTCACGACTCATTTGAATATCGATTCTTATACGTTCCAGCTTTACTACCAGTCATTGACCTCGTTTGCCGTGGTGTTTACTTTAAGGCAGATAAAGGTTAGTTTTTGGGTCACGCCCAAAAATCGTCATTCGAAAGAAAAAACTGTAGAAAGCATCGGTTCTTTTAAAATAAAAGC